GCTTCAATTCTATATAAAATTTGTGAATTTTGGTGTTGAAACGAAGTAGAAACTAAGGTTTTAAGAACTTCCAGAAACCGGCGACACAGAGGGAGGTCGACGGCGGATTCTGACAAAGCCATCGTAGAAAAGGAGAATATTCTGTCAACTTTGACGGAATATACTGACGGCGTCAAGTAACACCATTAGTTTTTAGACGGAATATTCCCTAACACCGTTAAGGATTCCGTCAATGTGCCAGGCACGTGCTGCGCGTGGCCGGCGCGTGTATGGGGATGCTCGTGGTGTTGAGTAGGCCACGATGATATATTCAAACATCCCAATTGAGTAACATATGAGAAGTTATTACACGGTTTTGGTTATGTGCTTAAAATTAACATTAAAATAGTTGTTTCACATATAGGTGAGACGTTTCAGGAGGATGAGCGCAGCCAGGTTAGACTCGGGGATTATGACCCGGCTACGTACCAGTGAGTGGGTTTTTGGTTTATATATATATATATACACACTTTACATTTTTCCCAGAAATTTGTTTTAAATGGATTTACATTTTTCAAATGCCATGTCAATTGCATTACATTTTAGTATATGCATTAGTATAGATATGCATATTATTTAATGATGCTACGAACGCCTAGGTAAGCTTCAGGTAAGTACATATTAATGATAGTGATTGCAGTGTGTATGGTTATGTTTAGATGCACTTAGTACTCATTATCCTGCACCTCGGTGTTAGTGCTCCACCCGAGGCCAGGGCCAGCCTTCATGTGATCGTTCACCTCCCGCACCACACACTCACCTTGGATCCAAGGCAAGTGTCAGCCTATCGTATAGACCACATTAGGTGGTTCCGACTCATAGGTGACTTGCGATACTTCACACAGCCTTCACGTGATCCTAACACTTAAGCGTACCTATTTACACCCAGCCTATCGTACAAACCACACTAGGTGGTTCCGACTCGTGTGCAGGATTTGGTAGATGAGCTATAGGTTCAGCTGTATAGGTCACATTAGGTGACTCCAGCTGATATAACATTTTACATCGATTTATTTTACCTGGCTTACTTATTTCATTGCTGAGATACTTGACATGGCATATACTTGGTTTTCATTACTCTCGAACTTGATTTCTATAAACACATATGTATTACTATTTTCTGGGAAATTATACAGGTTTTACGGTAAGGGGTTATTACTTTTGAAAGGTGAAATGGTTTTAAAAGCTTTGTTTTTGCCACTCACGTTTTCTGTTTTGCGCCCCTCCAGGTTCGAGTTAGACGTTCGTGTTGGTGGCTCACGAGGACACTACGGCGGTTCTGACAGACATCAAATAATGTAGGAACTTCCTTTCATATTCTGTATAATTAATATTTACCTTGCTGGACTACACTTAGGTTACATGTGCTCTGAGTATATGAATTTATACTTTAAACACCCTCACTTGTACTCATATACTTGTCTAGAGTAAGTTAGCTAGTTGGTTTTTATTTACCCACATTTTCATGTCACTGTTACTTCCGCAATGCGCACATGATTACGTCGTCACCACGTGACAACCAGCACGCCTCGATTTAGGTCAGGATGTGTCATGATACCTTCTTTTTAGGATTACGATACAACATTTATAATATTTGCCTACTATATACGTAGAAAATAAAATTTTGTTATAAAGGGGGAACACAAAAAGAATATGTGATAGAGGTAAACTTAAAAAAAAATGCGATAAAGGTTGATTAATACTTTTAATCTACAGATATGAAACTAAAAAGATGCGATAAAGGTAGATAAATACATTTAATCTACAACTGAGGTATCAAACCATAGAAACTCAAAGATATGGTAGAGGTAAATTAAATCGTAGTACTGGTAGATGAATAATTGCCTAATTAGGAGAAGCGTTCACTGTTCAGGGGTGTTGAGCTATGCATGAGAGTATTTAAGAAGTCTGCCCATTTAACTAGAGCAATCTTGTCTTTCTTAAGCAAAAATTCACATGTCACCTTTAGAAACTTTGGGATTATTTTAGGCTCCACGGCACCTGCTGCACAGTTCTGGAATTCTACAAAGTAGAAGGAGAAGGAGAAGAAGACTGATTAGTTTTTTTAAATGACTTGGCTAAAACGATATTAAATTCTTGGATTATTTTGGACAAATTTAATCTTTGTAGCTTGTTATGTTGTTTGTATAATATAATTTGTTTTGAGTTTTTATATTAAGACCTCTCGATATTATATTCTTGAATCCGCTAGTGCAGATTGATGATCCATGAGAAAAAACTAAAGAAAACACACCCAAAAAAAAAAATTATGCTCGAGATAAAAAACCAAAAAAGGAAACAAAAGACGAGGAAGTTGTATAATTCTTCCATTAAAAAGCAAAGGGAACACACATGATGAATAAAAATGACAAAAAAATAGAAAACTGAAAAAGGAAGGTGGAGCGAAGGAATAAGAAGAATGATGAGGGTAGGCAAGATGAATATAAGAAAGTGAGGAGGAGAGTACGATTTCTCAAAGAACTTGTACTTGCAGGAATGACTTTTAGTTCTGATAATTAATCTGTGAATTATTATTGACATTCCAAAAATCTTATTTTACATTCTAAATTTTTTATATTTGGAAAGAAAAATATACTTGTGAGGAGTATAAAATGAGATTTTTGAAGTGTCAATAACACTTCCTATTAATCTTATGGAAAACTAATGAAAATGGCTTGAAACTTTTGAGTTTTAACAATAAGGACAAAATAAAGTGTAAAGTGAATAGTACCAGGATTGACTTTTTAATGTAAAATATGGTTTTTCGTTAAAGTGAACTGTACCGGGAGCTTTTCGTTAAAGTTCCCTTAATCTTATCATTAATGAAAGTTTATCTTTTTTTCAGATGAAGTACGGTATTTATTGATGAAATATTGAAAACGTACAAATTATACTAAGACCACTCAATATTATATCCTTGAATCCGCTACTGCAGATGGATGATCCATGAGAAAAAAACTAAAGAAAACACATCAAAAAAAAAAAAAATTATGCTTGAGGTAAAAAACCAAAAAAGGAAACAAAAGAACGAGGAAATTGTATATAATTCTTGCATTAAAAAGCAAAGGGAAGACATATGATAAATAAAAATGAAAAAAAAAATAGAAAACTGAAAAAGGAAGGTGGAGCGAAATAAGAAGAATGATGAGGGTAGGCAAGATGAATATAAGAATGATGAGCGAAATAAGCCTGAAGTTTTGATTTGGGGCCAATAGGTTTGTCTCCCAACTAGGAACACACCACATGTGGCCGGCCTGAAGCCTAGTGATTAAGCAGTTTACTTGTTTTGGCATGACCTTTTGGGACACTTAGGTCGAACAATGATGCTACAACGCATCTCCTTACCCGAAGTAAGGATCTTGTGCCTACAAGCACACTTTGCCAAGCATGCTCATTAAGGAAATTGATTTTCTAAATCATCTCTCGCAAAGATATGAAACGACTCTCTTTTCACAGTGGATTCAAGGGAATATATGTGGACTAATCCAGCCAAAATGCGGACCATATAGATACTTATGGTTTTGGTTGATGAATCGACAAACTGGTCATATGTTTGTCCACACACATTGCTGCTAAACCTCATGGCTGATTAAGGGTTCACCACCCTACTTATCCCATAAAGTCCGGGAGACTGGATAATGCCGAAAAGTTTATATTGACGGTTTTCGATAAAGTATTGCATGTTTTTTGGGTTTATAATTTGAACATCGAATTCCCATGTTCACCCTGAATAGCCTCGCCTAGTGAACATAAAGCGCAATTTAAATGATCGCCCGAATTTTGGTAAACGTATCAAGTTTTCAATTTTTGCCTAAGGCTATGTAATCTTGTACGCAGCTATGTTGGTCTGCCTTGAGGCCCATTGCCACCCAACCTATATGACGTTACAGTTGGTTACTAGGTACAAACCTGACGATTTTCGTATTTACGCATTTAGGTGTGCATTCCATATGCCAAGTTGCGACGTCGCACTGTACCACCATGGGCCCTCAAAAAAGGATGTGTATCTTTTGTCGATCATGATTCTCCTTCACACAAACTCTCTTAGAGCCCTTGCATGCGATCTTTTTACCGCTCATTTGCGGGTTGTCACTTTAATAAGACAATCTTCCCGCTGTTAGGGGGAGATAAGAACGTCAACGTTCCTGGAGAACAGCGCGAATTTGCATGGACATTACCCACTATGTCTCATCTCGATCCCCATACCGCACAACTATGATAAGCAAGTGCGATGAATTCTAGCTTTCAGAATGTTGCCCTAGCCGCATTCCTCTAATCTAGCTAAAGTGACGGGATCATATACCAGTTGCAAACATGCCTGCAAGGATAGACGTATTTAACGAACATCGAGTCAACATCCCTGGAGGGTATGTCGCATTTGTTGGACGGTTTGGACGCCCCTGTTGAACAGTCTGATACACCGGCGGATAGCCAATCAATTTATCTTAGCCTGGAGCACGACAGATCACTCGGTTCGTAGGATTCACTTCCCTGGAAGAGGATGACACAGCATGAATCTACACTTGATCACTGCCTTAAATCATTTCCATCTCATGAGATTAATCCGGATTTCTCCCAAGACTTAAAGTTCTTGGTCCAGTATACTAGTTTGGATGAGCTAAATCGAATTGAAATGAGATTATCATCGATGATGTTTTCACTTATATGGTAGCTACCAACATAAATGAAAAACGACGATATCGAACCGTGGTCCGTTGACTAAGTGACAACGTAGAACTGATTGGACAACTGAAATTACAATTCAGGTCAAATTCCTTACCTCAAGCGTTTCCGGCTGAATTGGACTCCGACCCACGTATGAAAATTTATCCCCTCATTGAGATCTATAAATCTGTAAATTTTGGTAATTTTTGGAAATAGTTGAATTTTTCGATAAGTCAGAGCAGCGACAGGTGGGCCAAGACCCCACATGCCCTTCCTATACTAATTTGGATACCCTGATTCCATATGTGACGTCCAATTGACAAAATCTCGTCGTATGACTATAGTTTTAATTGAGACCGCCACTTTGTCATTATATGAATCGACAATACGAACAGGTCATATGGAAACAATACCTGTCAATGATACAGTATAAAAACAAAATTGGTACTAATCGATAACACTGGAAACTATTAGTAAAGGAAAAAATACATATTTGAAAATAACCTTGTATTTTCCAGTCTCATCTCCATGACCTGAAGGGTTGCACTTCAGCTGTTTTGAGGATATAAACTGCTGCACAACTTTCCTCATAGATGTTTTCAATCCATTACTAGAATTTTGCGGCAAGCTTGGGATACTACCGAATTTTGCAGGCAATGCATGACAAGCTTCGATTTTTTCAGACCTAGAAATGGAATCGAGATGCCCTTCAGTGGTTGAAGATGGCTCATCAACAGAAGCACCATTTGACAGAGATCCATCTGCTTTAGACTCATCTTCCCTGTCATTACTTGATGAGCTTTTGGACTTAGAGGCATCAGTAACTAACTTTTCTGTTGAAATAGCTCTTCTAGACTGCTTCTTACTGCCAATATTTTCAGACTGAGCCTCAACAGATACGTTTGCATTTGCTTTAGGAAATTTTTGTGTAGACTCGACCGCTTTATCAGTATGACTCGATTTCATCTTATATAACTTGTTTTCACAAGATATGTCCTCTTGACGATTCACCGGCTTAGTACACTCTGAGGGTGATGACATATTCCTAGGCTGTTCAGGAGCAACAACATCAGAAAGAGGTTTCTTTGATTTGTCATCCCATGATACGGTATTGGATGGAGTTAAATTAGTATGTGATCCTTTCCCATCTGCAATAGGTTCATTATATCATTGTCACCTGTCATGAATGAAATGAGGCTAATTCAGACAATAGAGATTTTTACTGTTATCTACAAAATCATACCGTGATGTAAAACTGTGTCCCCATCAAAAGCACTCCGGTCTTGGAACTGCATGGAATCGATTGAAGGCTGACATTCATCCTTGTGACCTTGTCTCCAATGGATGATTTGACACTTACCAGAACTACACACAAATGTTCAAGTGAAAACAATGTTTATATCTACGCAAGCATGTCCACCCCATGGTAATTCAGATTTAGAGTTCAGAAATACTGCAAGGATTCAACGAAAGTCCATAATGTGATGTCTTATTTAACAAAAAAAAAATAGAAAAATGAAGTTGGCTTGTATAGTTAAATTTGGTGACAATGTCTTCCAAACTAAAAACACATAAAATGTTTCCTATAGGAGTTAGCAGTCAGATAAATATCAAACCATGTGCATTTTCCTATTTCTCATGTTTCTTTGACATTCTCCTTTCTTTGATTCCTTAAGAACACACACAAAAACATAATCCAAGGGCATAATCTTACGCAATTGAATCTTAATACACAAGCAAAACACGAGCTGGACAATTTGAAATTCTCAACTAAACAGCTAGCTGAATCCATCGCGTAATTAGCGCAATCAAACACCAAAAGAACAAATTAATAAAAAATAAAGAGTAGATTATACTGCAACAGCAAATGCACAAACATAACCATCCAGAAAATGTACAAACCAAGCAAGAAAAATTATAACTTTTAAAAGAAAAACGAACCAGTATCGGACAGCCTTGCATTTAGAGCAGCGCATTGTGGTACTGGCATAGCAGACGGCACAATGGTACGGCCAGGACGCCGGCTGCACCACTGGAGCGAAAAAAGCCGTGGCCTGAAACTCCGCCACAGCGGTCTCTTCGGAAGCCATAGCCACAAGCCTCAAGATTTCCTCTTTCTTCGCCGCCGCATTCTTCCACTTGTGACAAATCACGAAGAAGGAGAGCAAGATAAGGAGCAGCAGGAGGCCGTGAAACCCTATAATTCCAGGGACCAGCATTGATCGGAGCTGAGCTAATATTAGCCGGCGCCGAGGACGAGTCCAGAGCAGAGAAACCCTAGGATGGTTTTTTTGCTATACATAAATCCGACGGTGGTGGACGTGGCGGTGCCGGTGAGGGGGTAGGGAGAGGAAATGGGGGAAATTGGGAGGGGCAGAAAGGGGATTTGAGTGGGGGTAGTGGTGGAAATGGGAGAGAAGAAGCATCTGGTGGGATGCGGGCGGTGGAGGAGGGAGGAGGAAGACAGAGATGGAAAGGGAAGGGGGGAATAAATGGGATGGGGAATATTAAGTCGGATCCGAGAGTGGAGTGTCGCGTGGTGGCGACGATTGGTTTTTTTGTTTTTTTTTTTTTTTTTTTTTTTCAAATCGTCAGTGAATCTCTAGTGTTTGTCTTGTCCAGGTTAATGTGGATTTTACCGCGTGGATTCATTATGGAGGCATAATTTTCTATTATGTCTTTATAATTCTCTGTAAATATCAAACGCGTTATGCATCATGTCTTAAAAAGTGAAATTTTGAAAAACAAAATCCACTTTTGACTGCGTTAAAAGATTTATATATAAATACATATTGGGTTTGTACATCGAGATCCAAAATCATAGGCTATACTTAGAGTGAGTACAATTATGTTTTTTCAATAATGCACTCTTAAAGTTTTCATTTTGAGGACATGTGAGCTCCTCTTCTATTTAAATCCTTAGTTTAATTTAACAATTGATTAATTAATAATCTTATATTATCCCGTTGTACCCTAACAAAATCATAATCTCAATTGAAAAAGAAAAAGAAAAAACGATTCATGCGTTATGACCACCTCTGCCGATTTGAACAGCCCAACCTTGCAGAACAGCCCATGTGCCTGGTCCACAAAGACCTAATGCTTTTGTAGACCATTCAGTCAAGCGAACAACTGAGGAGCTTCATTGGAATTGGCTAGGCAGCAGGGGAATAATTGGAAGGAACAATGCCAGATGGGCATTTGAGGGCAGACGTGATTGTTTATTGGAGGAAGATGCGGATGATTCACCTCTCCAAAGGTTTGTTCGGATGTAACAAGGACAATATAAGGTTATTAATTAATTCACCGTCAGATTAATCTAAGGGCATATACGACAGAGAATCTCACAAGTCCTCAACATGAGGAACTTAGGTGAGCATTACTGTGTGTTTTTTTGTATGCTTTTTAGCCAAAATGGTTCTTGAGATTTGCATAACTCATCACTTTGGTTCCTGAGATTTGAAATCAATAGAAGTGGTCCCTGAGATTGTCCACCATCAATCATTTTGGTCCTTCCGTGAAACATTATGTTAAATAAGATCAAGATGACAAAAATACCCTTAATTTCATAAACAATAGGCCAAAATGATTTGACAAAAATTGAGGGTATTTTTGTCATTTTATTCTTGTTTAATGGAGATTTTTAACGGAATGACCTAAATGATTAATGGTGGATAATCTCAATGACCAATTTTATTGATTTTAAATCTTAGAAAACAAAGTAATGAGTTACGCAAATCTTAGAAACTATTTTAGCTTAAAAGCCTTTTTTGTCAGTTACAATATTTTATTCTTATTTCGTCCTTCGACGTAAAAAAAAATAGAAGTATTTGAACCCTTAACTAATGCATCAGTTACATAATTTTGAATTTTAAACCCTTAAACTTACTATTATCTAAGAAAGCACTTTTAAAAAAAAAATGTAAAAACATATATGATAAAGGTTGAAAAACTACACAAGCATATATGATATGTGATGACCCGTCCCGAATAAAAATATATTTTCTCCTCGAATGTATGTAAAGTGACAATTATGCCCTCGTTGGCTTAGTCACATGGATGTACATATATAGTTTAAATTATTTTTCTCACTGACGTAATTAAATCGTACACGTCGTCAAGAGTGTGTTGACGCTAGTTAAGGCTGAATCGGGTTCACGACGAAAATATTACAAGTGATTAGGTGAGTTGGGTTGGTTTCTTTTTAGTTGGATCCAATTGCATGGACCTTAGACATTGTAGCCTAATCAGGGCTTGAGTTTTTTTTTAAGTGGCCAATCCCATAAGCCATACACACACATGCAACTCTCCCTCATCCTTTCCGTCTTTCTCAAAATTTCCTTTCATCCGTACAACCAAGAACACTTTCAAACTAAACCAAACTTCTACGGATCGAGCTTGATGTTTCCAGATTCCTACTCCTCTCGAGCTCTAGACTCTGGTGATACCTTTTGTTTGGTGATTTGACTTCGAAAACCCGAGACTCCAAGACTTCGGCGAGGAGCTAAACTACTTTAACGTGATCGTGGGATTTACCTAAGGATTTAAGACTCGTGGTAGTCCCCATACAACTCCCTTAGCATCGTGGAACAATTTTGGAGTGGTTTGGATGTCGGGACACTCGGGTTTATCAAGTTGCAGACTTAGCCAGAATATTGAAGGATTTGCCGACCAGTTTCCGTCGATTTTAGGACCTCAAAGAAGTATGGTTATGTTCTCCTAGTTGAGAGCTTCAATTCTATATAAAATTTGTGAATTTTGGTGTTGAAACGAAGTAGAAACTAAGGTTTTAAGAACTTCCAAAAACCGGCGACACAGAGGGAGTTCGGCGGCGGATTCTGGCAAAGCCATCGGAGAAAAGGAGAATATTCTGTCAACTTTGACGGAATATACTGACGACGTCAGGTAACACCATTAGTTTTTAGATGGAATATTCCCTAACGCCATTAAGGATTCCGTCAATGTGCCAGGCACGTGCTGCGCGTGGCCGGCGCGTGTGGCCGTGCCTTGGCCAGGGCGTGAGGGCGCGTGGAACGTCGGAAAATTATTCTAAAAATATAGGGATGCTCGTGGTGTTGAGTAGGCCACGATGATATATTCAAACATCCCAATTGATTAACGTATGAGAAGTTATTACATGGTTTTGGTTATGTGCTTAAAATTAACATTAAAATAGTTGTTTCACATATAGGTGAGACATTTCCGGAGGATGAGCGCAGCCAGGTTAGACTCGAGGGTTATGACCCGGCTACATACCAGTGAGTGAGCTTTTGGTTTATATATATATATATATATATATATATACACACACTTTACATTTTTCCCAGAAATTTGTTTTAAATGGATGTACATTTTTCAAATGCCATGTCAATTGCATTACATTTTAGTATATGCATTAGTATAGATATGCATATTATTTAATGATGCTACAGACACCTAGGTAAGCTTCAGGTAAGTACATATTGATGATAGTGATTGCAGTGTTTATGGTTATGTTTAGATGCACTTAGTGCTCATTTTCCTGCACCTCAGTGTTAGTGCTCCGCCCGAGGCCAGGGCCAGCCTTCATGTGATCGTTCACCTCCCGCGCCACACACTCACCTTGGATCCAAGGCAAGTGTCAGCCTATCGTATAGACCACATTAGGTGGTTCCAACTCATAGGTGACTTGCGATACTTCGCATAGCCTTCACGTGATCCTAGCACTTGAGCGTACCTATTTACACCCAGCCTATCGTACAGACCACACTAGGTGGTTCCGACTCGTGTGCAGGATTTGGTAGATGAGCTATAGGTTCAGTTGTATAGATCACATTAGGTGACTCCAGCTGATATCTCATTTGACATCGATTTATTTCACCTGGCTTACTTATTTCATTGCTGAGATACTTGACATGGCATATACTTGGTTTTCATTACTCTCGAGCTTGATTTCTATAAACACATATGTATTACTATTTTTTGGGAAATTATACGGGTTTTACGGTGAGGGGTTATTACTTTTGAAAGGTGAAATGGTTTTAAAAGCTTTGTTTTTGCCCACTCACGTTTTCTGTTTTGCGCCCCTCCAGGTTCTAGTTAGATGTTCGTGTTGGTGGCTCATGAGGACACTACGGCGGTTCTGACAAACATCAAATAATGTAGGAACTTCCTTTCATATTCTGTATAATTAATATTTAGCTTGCTAGACTACACTTAGGTTACATGTGCTCTGAGTATATGAATTTATATTTTAAACACCCTCACTTGTACTTATATACTTGTCTAGAGTAAGTTAGCTAGTTGGTTTTTATTTACCCACACTTTCATGTCACTGTCACTTCCACAATGCGCACATGATTACGTCATCACCACGTGACAACCAGCACGCCTCGATTTAGGTCAGGGTGTGTCATGATACCTTCTTTTTAGGATTACGATACAACATTTATAATATTTACCTACTATATATGTAGAAAATAAAATTTTGTTATAAAGGGAGAACACAAAAAGAATATGTGATAGAGGTAAGCTTAAAAAAAAAAGCGATAAAGGTTGATTAATACTTTTAATCTACAGATATGAAACTAAAAAGATGCGATAAAGGTAGATAAATACATTTAATCTAGAGGTATCAAACCATAGAAACTCAAAGATATGGTAGAGGTAAATTAAATCGTAGTACTGGTAGATGAATAATTGCCTAATTAGGAGAAGCGTTCAGGGGTGTTGAGCTTAGGGTGATCGTATTTAGCTACTTTGATCTTTAGGGATGTGTGTTGAGCTATGCATGAAAGTATTTAAGAAGTCTGCCTATTTAATCAAAGCAATCTTGTTTTTCTTAAGCAAAAATTCACATGTCGCCTTTAGAAACTTTGGGATTATTTTAGGCTCCACAGCACCTGCTGCACAGTTCTGGAATTCTACAAAGTAGAAGGAGAAGGAGAAGAAGACTAATTAGTTTTTTTAAACGACTTGGCTAAAATGATATTAAATTCTTGGATTATTTTGGACAAATTTAATCTTTGTAGCTTGTTATGTTGTTTGTATAATATAATTTGTTTTGAGTTTTTATATTAAGACCTCTCGATATTATATTCTTGAATCCGCTAGTGCAGATGGATGATCCATGAGAAAAAACTAAAGAAAACACACCCAAAAAATAAATTATGCTCGAGGTAAAAAACCAAAAAAGGAAACAAAAGACGAGGAAGTTGTATAATTCTTCCATTAAAAAGCAAAGGGAACACACATGATGAATAAAAATGACAAAAAAATAGAAAACTGAAAAAGCAAGGTGGAGCGAAGGAATAAGAAGAATGATGAGGGTAGGCAAGATGAATATAAGAAAGTGAGGAGGAGAGTACGATTTCTCAAAGAACTTGTACTTGCAGGGAATGATTTTTAGTTCTGATAATTAATCTGTGAATTGTTATTGACATTCCAAAAATTTTATTCTACACTCTAAAGTTTCTATATTTGGAAAGAAAAATACACTTGTG